ATCTCTCAAGAACGGAGTTGACAGTTTACCTCAGTGTCTCGAAATGTGGTAGATTGAGATTAGCTGATCCAGATTTTAGAGTAAGAATAGGTTAAATTGAAGATCGCAAGAACTCTGCATTGTGATTGGTTCAAAATGACGTCATCTGAATTTCGTGCGGTCACAGTATGCCCTACATTTCCCAAACGAGGCTCTCAACTAGTGATTCCCAACTCACTTCCAAACTGTTGGATATCAAAAATACCAAATCCTGTTGTTGGTTGAGTTGAGTGCTGACGATTGACTCAACTGTCAAACATTTCAAAAATAGGGCCCCAGGTTCGTTAAAATAAGCTTTGACGTTCACAGAGAATTGGAGGAAATGGGGGATTATAACGTGCTTGATCTGTAGCCCTGCGTGCTTGGGCGTATCGGTTATTACCAAAATATGCCCAAATATATCGGTTGCCGGGTTGCCTATGGGGCAATGCCGTCCTTAAGTACAGTATTTAGAAACACCTAGGTACATTCGGAAACTGTACTACGTAATTTAATAAACTCGCACAATCCTGCGACCTCGGGATGTTTAGTTTAAAAAAAGTTTCTTGTTGAAGGATATATTTTGATCAAATTTGGTAAATTTATTTATTTCAAACTAAGCTATTTATGGTGTGTATCTTTTATATAGCCTATATAAAATCCAATGTATATGTTTGTTTGTTTATCCTTTATGTACTCCGAAACCGCTCGACAGATTGTGATGAAACTTTCAGGCATTGTTAAGCATTATTCAAGGGTGGTTTGTGTGAAGTTTGGTGCAGATCCGTCAAAAGGGCTCCGCCCCAGTGGCTCTGAAGTTTCCCATGTTAGCCTTATAAGTACTCATATTTAAATGGAATTAAAGAATCTTAACAGTTGGTTCAACCAAACAATTTGATTCTGTTTACCAACAGGGTGCAGCACTATTATTTTTTTAATTTATGACAACAGCTAATTTGCAACCTAAAGGTGAGTGAGCGTAGCGAACGAACTTCAACCAGGACGTGATTGAGCCATGCGAACGAGCTCATCTTGAAATTGAACGAGCATTTGATATAAAACCACATTAGGGTACAGGACGACGTCTGTCGGGCCAGCTAGTACTGTAATATATATAAAAGAAAGTTGTGTTAGTTACAGCGTTTATAACTAGAAAACTACCGAACCAATTGAAACTCGGTGTCTAAAGAAAGGGCTTGGTCTGTAGATTAGCCATCAAAAGAGAGACGTAGTAAATTTCCTTGGGCTCTGCCCCAGAGGCCTTTAAATTCCCATCCCATGTTATTCTTATGGAGGAAAACAGGTTTTTGTCACAGCTAATTACAGAGAACGGCTGGGCGTAGAAACTTGGTAGTGGTCTCTAAAGAAAGGTCTTGGTCTGTAGATGAGCCATCAAAAGAGAAAAGTGGTAAATTCCCTCGGGGCTCTGCCCCAGTGGCATTTAAAGTTCCCTCTTCAGATTTGTTTACATTACGACCATATACATACATTAACACTACTTTTTAAAGAAACCGCTGTTAATATTTAAATTGTGATTTACTAAATTTGTCAAAATGACGTAATTGCAATGGTTTTTTTCTGATTTTAAAATCGATTTTGTTTCTGAATCGTGCCATGTTTTGCAATATAATGTTCTATTACCAAATCAGTGGAAAATCCTAATATCACGGTAACTCTTAAAATGATTTCTTATGGAGTCAACTTATATCTATTGTACAAGTTGGTTTCTGCCTTTTTTTACCACTTCTTTAGAGATTGCACGTAGACGATATTTTTTGGCGTATTGCATCTGTAGACGATACTTGGTTGGTGTAATTATTAAAATTACAATGGAAAAAAGCGAGAAATATTGGACATTTTGATATACTAAAAATAAAACTGAGTTAACACTGTGCTACATTTCTTGAACAATAATTGAAAGAGCCGATTTGCAAACAATGGAAACATAGGAAAGTCATAGAACACAACCAAGTAGGCATACAGTAATAGAAATAGAAATAATGTTTTTTTTTTCATTTATAATCGTTATTATAGACAACCTAATGCGGCTATGAGTGGGAAACATTTGTAGAAAACACTAAAAACCTAAAGGTGAGTGAGCATAGCTAACGAACATCAACCAGGACGTGATTGAGCCATGCGAACGAGCTGATCTTGAAAATGAACAAGCATCTATATATATAAAAGGCAAAGCCCTCACTGACTGACTCACTCATCACTAATTCTCCCACTTCCCATTTACCTAGGAGGCTGAAATTTGGTACACTGATTCTTTAGGCATTAAATAGGAAAACTAAGTTGTTTTTATTCAGATCGGACTCTCGGGCTCCGCCCCAGTGGCTCTGGAGTTTCCCATGTTAACCTTATGAGAAATGGAATTAATGAATCTTAACAGCTGTTTCATAAAACAAGTTGGTTCTGTTCTATGATGTTCAATAGCATTAAAGTTACAAGGATTACCAACAGGATGCAGCACTATTATTTCTTTTACATTTATGACAGCTAATTTGCAACCAAAAGGTGAGTGAGCATAGCGAACGAACTTCAACCTGGAGGCGAGTTAGCGTAGCGAACGAGCTAACCTGAAGGCAAGTGAGCGTAGCGAACGAGCCTACCTGAAGGCAAGTGAGCTCAGCGAACGAGCTCTAACCTAAAGGTGAGTGAGCGTAGCGAACGAGCTCAAACCTAAAGTTGAGTGAGCGTAGCGAACGAACTTCAACCAGGACGTGATTGAGCCATGCAAACGAGATCATCTTGAAAATTAAGAAGTTAAACGGGACAAAGCCCGCGGGTTACAGCTAGTTTGACATAAAACCACAGGACAAGACGACGTCTGTCGGGCCAGCTAGTTTATAATAAAAGCACACTTTATGGCATCAGCCCTGTTATGGCATGCCTTGTAGTAGGCTAGGTAGCAAATGCAATTACTAGTACTCTCTATACCTATAGTTTTTTATTTAAATGGGGAACAAATCTTACATGTTTCATGGAATATTTTAGTGGAAATTTGATCAGGCACATGGAGATTTATTTTGTTTTCCGGTTTGGTGTGGGTGGCGGGGGTGAGTTATAGATTTTAATGACTGCAAAATAAAATGAAGGGGAGAGCGAGATTGTTAAAAAATCTTAAAAATAATTTTTTTAAAGATGTAGTATGGGCCATACTAAATTTGTGAAATGTTCTCAATATCACCATACTATTTTGTATCATACTTTTTCACATTTTTAAACATTCTTTCAATTTTTTTAGTTAAAAAACCCTCCTATAGTCTTCTATACAGATGAGATGTTTAAGCGAATTTCCCATATAGGGAATAAGCTATTACCGTAGTACTCATGGTAAGACCTGGACCGATTTAATTTTTCATTTTGAGGTCCCTAGAGGCCAAAAACACCATCCGTTCAAATTTATATATATATATAGTTTCTTAATATTTATATATATATATATATATGTCCGTTAGTGTGATAACTCGAGCAAAAATGATAAGATTTTAATGAAATTTGGTACAAACGTGTAAACCTACGTTTATTCGAACGAGTTCACGATCCAGCATAATCTGACCATGGGAATGGGGGTTTTATGGGGGTTTCCCGTTTTTGACTCTAAAAACAAAAAAATTTGCAATTTCTTTTTAAACCGTTTTGTAGAGCTTAAAAAAAGAAATAATTTAGTAGCGCTGTTGTACGCCTAACGGTCACGGAGAAAATTTAAAAAAAGTGTAATTTAAAATTACCACGTTATTCTTATGGAGAAAATAAAAATTGTTTCTAGTTTACTTGTTTATGGACATATATTGATAAAATTTGGCAAATTTATTTATTTCACCCTATACTATTGACGTATGGTCAAAAAATACTTTTTACCTTCCCTGTAGCAGCAAACCTAAGCACTCGTTAAATCTAATGTTATTTAAATAGGGAATAAATATGTCTTATTTATGGAAATATATTTTAGTAAAAATGTAATCAGACAAGTTGAAATTCGCTTAGTCTGCAGGTTTGCTGCAGCGGGGGTATTTTTTTCATTTTTTAAAACCTCATAATCAATTTATCAAAAGTGGACAGCTTATTGAGACCAAAGTTATTATAACTCTAATTTTTACTTGACAATACCTTATTAAAATTTGACAACTGTTGCACTGAATACTGATTTCTGGTCTCATAATAACACACTTTTCTATTCATAATGGCAAGGAATAAATAAATTACTAGTCTTGTTTAGTATAAAATAATGCCTAATATAGGCTACACTTTATTGTTTAGAACTAAAGAGAGTTTAAAATTACAAACATTTAAATCCATACCACCACCAATTGATCAGACTTTATAAGTTTTGAGATTGTGAAAAGTTTAAACAGATTTCCACAAAGTTAGTTGCTTTATCGTCACTTGTTAATGTCACATAATAAAATATTATCATACAATTGTGTGTAAAGTTGAACATATTTTGGTATTTGTATTAGAAAATATACAAATAAAAAGGAAATATATAAGCCCCAGTATGATTCATGCTGCCAAGGTTATTTTTAGAAATATAAGATAGTGTATAAGGTAGTGTATCCATTATGGATATTCTGTAACATTTTTCTAATTTTGGAAAAAAATAGAATAATTTGGTATGATACACTGCATTTTACAACGAGTTCATTAAATATAGGATGATATAACAAGTAGAAATAGGAAACAGTAGAAACACTATCTCAAGACAATAAGAAAAAACTTATAGAGTTTTGGTATCTAACTATAGTTCTTAATAGTTTATGAAAACCAATTTTTATTTTAATAAGACACTTTTTCTATAAACAAAGTAGTATACCTGTTTAATGAACTGATCTGAAACAATAGTAGAAGTTTAAACACAATCGGGACTAACTTACAATCATATACAGAAGGATATAATTTATATAAATTCATACAAATCTTATTGAATGTCATTTATAGTTAAGGAAAATCATGTTGGGCCAAAATATTTAAACAAATTGATATCTCGTAATTGCTTTTATTTTAAACATAATTAAAGTAGTAGTAGAATGTATGGTAATAGAAAAGTAAGAAAGTGTATGAAAACTAAAACAGTTTTTCTCGTTCAGTTTGCATTTTATTTAGTATTGTGATTTAAATAGATGGCAACAGAGAAGATGGTTTAATTGGATTGTTTGGATAAAAGGCTATCACAAAAGTCCTAAACAAAACCACTTATTCAAATAAACTAATTTTATAAAAATCTTTGACTATAGTAGAATTGATTGCGATTTTTCACCTATTTACATTTGGATGATTAGCTAATTATTTTAAAGCTATAACCATATTATTAATTTTTACAATCATATTAAACCATGACAAGGAACTTTAAACATCGAGGACACCCTCAAACAGTTTAAATACTTAAAATATTATTGCTAAGGCCACTCTTTACACAGCTGTAGAAGACTAGAATACACATGGCTTATTCTTTCACACAACATTCACACTCGCTGATGTCAACTTGAGAATCAATGGTCTAAGCAATCATCACTCCTAGGTCTAAACAGCCGGCGCACTCTGTCTTCTATGAATGGGTATGATGAACACACTGATCTTGCTCTTTCTCCTGGTGTCTTGAACTTTTCCGAAGAGGTCGGAGTACGACGGTGGTGCGAAGAGGTCGTATGGAGGTGGAGGGGAGTCAGACACTCTTCTCGCCTCGTGAAAGTTTGTTTGGTAAGCGTTGATGTAGAGTTCGTTGATGCCGTGCCTGGTGTACATGTGGTTACCGAAGCACCACTCGGAGCAGGTGACTATGAGAAAGAACGTCACAAGTCCCCCAAAAGCTCCGAGATACCACATCACAGACCACATGTCCACGACCTCATGGACTGTAGCAGCATCTGTAACATACAAAACACTATTTTGAGTACTACATTCTCAATCCAAACTATAAAATGCATGATCCTAACAGTCTGATCAAGAGAGGATCATTCTTTTAGAAAAATATAAAACATAGGCCTACAAAGCATTTGATCAAAAATCCAACTTTATTTTCAAAGTAAAAAGGGCTAACAAAATAGATGAATGTTTCAAGTGAATCTTTGCAGGCAAATATCTTCGTAATGTAAAAATACTATTTTTTTCACAAATTACATGCAAAAGTATAAAAATTAATTGTCATGCAAAACTGATAAAACACTCCTAGATTTTAAACACTTTACCAAATGATTATTCTATTCTACTTACTATAAGCAACAGAAATAGAAAGCAACATCAGTATGTATTTGATCTCTCAGAGTTGAGCGATGACAGAAGTCAAATTGACTGTTTTGACTAATAACCAGTGACGCAACCAATCTATTGTGTGATTGTACTTACAAATCGGCATCAACACTCTAACGAGAGATCAACTACCACTGTGTCTGCCTTGAAAGCTCTGAGTATGAATATTAAACCTTAATTGTAGACGAGCCTCCGTCCTGGGTGGCCTGGGTCCTCACGGAGCTGAATATTAAAAAAATACCGTTAGAATACAGAAGTTAAAACTTGTGAATGTAATGCATTAACTGTTAGAAGGCAAGCTCAAATGTGTGTAAGAAAACTTAGATTTTTGGATAATCAGTAGATATTCTATCTTTAGTTCCAGCTGTAGCCAATTTTTACTTATAATATAACATAGTAGAATGGCTGGTAGAATGGACCTTTAAAGAGTTTACTACACTGTAAACATTAGATTTGTTTCTTGTGTATGGGCTGATATTTTGTGTTACAAAATAAAAGATTCTATGGTTTACAATATGCTGTATTGATAAAGGATAGCAATTAATAATTGACATGAGCACACTCTGCTGGCTGAACTCAACTACCTCCATGTTCACTCTGAAACTACAGCTACAACCTTTACGGGGATGGGAATGGGATGTCTAATAATTTATATAGTCAAAGACGAATCATACAAATAGATACTGTTTGGAAGCTAATTTTTCGCTTGTACAATTAATTTGCAAAATAAAGTTAATAATCTTAATGAGTACTTGAATAGAATTTTATGCGGGTTGATTGCACCGAAGAAGAAATGTGAACTATACATAATCTTTATACTGCATTTAAGAGTTGAATTTAGAGCTAAACTATTTAGAGTTTATTTCAAATAAGATATCTGATGTATACTCACATTTTTACATTTTTAACTCCAGGAATATGGTTAGGGCTATACTAAAAAGCTATACTAAAAAGCTGAGATAAGTGATATAATCTACTAAATCCAACAACATTTTTAACTAAATGTTAGTTTACACTGAAATATCAAATTATTGTTATACATGACTACTTCTGAAAACTGCCAAATAAATTAAAATAATTGGTAATACCTACCTTAAGTTTTAAAATTTAGGAAATTAAGTGCTTGAAAAAAAATTTATAAATACAGTACTTACGGTCAGAGCAATATGATAATTTACTGATATCCAAAGACAAGTTTTATGCTTTGGTCTTAATACTACTGACTCACATATTGTCTAATTACAATTGGAGATATTGAAATGGTCTCTGCTCTGTAATGAATTAACTGTATGAATGAGAATTATATCAGTCCTGTTGAAATGTAGTAGAAATACGCTCAATAATGTTGTTGCAAGGGATTAAGTATTTAAAAAGAAAGTGATTGCATGACAAGTTCAGTAGGGAGTGATTTAATAATTTCAAAATCTCCAAAACTGTTCCAAAAAGCATTTATTTACAGAACATTAACTAAAAACATTAAATTACCTGTTGTGTTTGCGCTCCTATTTTCATCTAGAATATTCCATGAGTTATTACTTGTTTCCATTGTTACATTTGTGGTCTTCAGCAAACCTAAAAGAAGCATTGGTATTAAACAAACGAATCAATAAGAGACTTATAGAACTACACTCTACAAGACAATTAGTTGATACGAATTGATGGAAATAAATACAATCAAAGTAGTATGAAGAAAAAAAACCTCATTGTACTCTAAAATATATTCACAATTAATTCATTTGAAATTATGAATAACAAAATAATTTATCACTACTCATAATATTTGCTAGTACTGAAATGCAGCATCATTTACAAGTGAATTTACTGTATTGTTTAAAGACTGATTTAATGACTATGCGATGACTATACAAAAATTGAAATCAAAATACAGTAAGTTCAAACCTTTTGCAATTTACAGCAATTTCGACAATTATAGTATTAAATATGGTAAACAGTTTAACATATAAATTTTCACTGTTAAAATTGTCATCCATAAAGGAAACTTACAAGTGGGTTTTTTGCACACTTATTGATACAAACACTCAATTATTCTTATCTAAAACATAGGACAGGATTAATGTGTAAGCCAATTGCAAACAATTGAATATGAAGTTTTAACTTATCAGATAGTTTATTGGCAGGTGATCCATAAATGTCTTCCTGACACATACTTGTCTATGCACATACATAACACACACTCATTCTGTTAACTGAATTGCAATGATTTAATAATAAATGACTCAATTACTCTACAACTTTCATGACCAACTTAAACTGACTTTAGTTTCCAGTTAAATCTTTAATTTGATGACAATATTTTTTCTTTGAAATTGTTGTATTGTAATTCAATTTTTGGGCTTTACTTATTACTTTGCTGAGCTTGGTTTGTTGAAGGCAAGGATGGTATATTTTCATTACCGGTATGTAGAATAGTGTGTCTATATTTTAAGTGTATAATAGGGGTGTGTAATATAATAGGGGGTTTGCATTGTATTCCAGTGGCGGATCCAGAGGGGGGGCGATCGCCCCCCCCCCTCTCGGGCATCCATATATGTATTTTTTACTGCATGTATTACAGTAGTGCAAACACATTGCGTAAAATAATTTGTCACACTAACTTTGGACAAATAAATGGTAAAACTGCCATTTTGGAGACTTAGTTTACACAACTTTTTCGGGTAGGGGTACCCTCGAACCCCCCAGACCCCCCGGTTCGCCCCCCTTTGTGACTGTTCTAGATCCCCCACTGTTGTAGGTATTTCAATAAAGAAAGTAAAAATGTTGATAAAGTATAAAAATATTATGAATACTGAAAATATTTAAACCATTTTGGGACATAACAACTACAGGAAAAGGTTACTTTGGAACATACTTAAATACAACTCTTATCATTCCAACAATTTACGGATCCAAAAAAAATTATGTTTTTTTCTCCATTTACTAACTAAGCAAACTAAATCGTGATACCCTATACATGCATTGGGGTACAGTATATAGAAATCACTACTAAAAAACAAGGAAATTTAACCATTTAGTTGCCTAAGCAAACTCAAAAGGCCTTTTATCTAGCTTTTGTTAAAAGGTTTTAAATTACCATATGTATTAAGTATTTCTTATTTATTTATTTATTCTTATGTATTTTTTATTTCTTAGTTAGCAAAATTATATTTTTTTTATAAAGGCAAATAGTTACTGCATTAATTATATCAATTTACCAAAAATTGTACAAACGACTTGATGAAATTACTGGTCTAGACAGAAAGAGAGGTTCAGGATAAAATGGTAACAAATAACAAATCACATTTACTTTTCATAAAAGACTAAATGTATTGCCAAACTTAATTATTCAAGTGAATGGTATGTATAATGTTATGGAATGATATGTTTACATTTAGTAAAATTTTAATATGATTGAAAATTAATTTTAAGTATTAGACTATCAAAAACATCGATATCATTCCAAGTTTGTTAACTACATTTTAATCCTCCTGAAAGAAATATTGTTGTGAACTGTTATTATTTAGCACATTTACACAATTATTTGGTACTTACTGAATATAAGCTAAATTTGGATCGTTTTGTGAGTTGAAGGTACCATCCAATTTATGCTAACAATAGGTCAAGTAAGTACATTTATCCAGGTTTAAATTTTGTAAGAGCAGATAATATTGTACAGTAGGCCTACTTACTTTGTCTGAGACCGGTAGACATGAAGGGTGCAGCTGAGGCAGACTGAAGCTGAAGTAGCATCGCTGACACACAGCACACGCACAGTGAACTGGTGGACATGTTCACAGAGTATGACAATCTCAGAGGCTGTGGCACTCTTATAGCGGCACGTGCTATCTGTATCTACTCGCCGCTCTCTCGATACCAGAGGCACTCATCTGCAACAGAAAAACATAACCTGAAACTTAGTCACTTGCTCTGGATCCTGGGTAGCCTATACAGTGTCTCACTGCACTGGACTTATATCCATCCCGACCCGGTGTAGGTTATAGTGTTTGAGGCCTTTACTATAAATTAATAATGAATCGTTAATTAACTTAACTGGTGCTATACTGTAAACAAATTCAACAATATTAAAGCAAAAAATAACTAACTTAATATATGAACTTAAAATATACCTATAGCCATATCTGTAATTTTTTTTTATTACAGCAAACTAATTTTTTTACGTTACATTCGTGATTACATATAAGGAAAATGCTTAGCTAATTATTCACGTCGGAGACTATTTAGAAAAATGATTCGTGTGAAGACGAGCAAAAATTGTTATCTTTTTAACATTTCGTCACATTAAGACCATGTGCCATAAATTATTTCTCTTTTCAAAACATTATAAACGTTGGTTCTTCTATATTTCTATACTATACTTTTTTTATACTTCCCACATTGTAAAATCGTGCCTTGAAATTAGTGTTCTATTCTATGATTAAAAATGTACGTAAAAAATTTCGCAGTTCTGTGAGATTTCAACTACATTTTAGCGAATTTCCCCATAGGGAAATAGGTATTACCGTAGGTCTCATGGTAAGACCTAGGCCCGGGACCGATTTACTTTTTCATTTTGATGTCCTCAGAGACAAAAAACACCATTCGTTCAAATTTATATATATATATGTGTGTGTGGGGGGGGGGGGTGTCCGTCCAGACGATAACATGAGTAATTTTTGTCCGATTTTGTTAAAATATGGTTTGAAGGTGTAAGGTGGGATAAACTTGAATGAGTTCGCGAACCAGCATGATCGGACCATAGGAACGGGGTTTAACGAGGGGTTTAATGGGGTAAAAATGGGGTTTTCTCATTTTTTACCCTTAAAACGCAAAATTTATTAATTTTTCTCCAGACCTTTTAAAAGAGCTTTAGTATATCAACAAATAATTTAGTATATTATCAAGTATTATAAGTGTTTTTACGGTGATTGGTTACGGAGAAAATTTAAAATTTGTTAATTAAAAATTCCCATGTTGTACTTCAGGAGAATATTGTAAAATGTTGTAGTTGGCTTGTTTATGGTTATATTTTAGTAACACTTGGCGGATTTTTTTACACTGATATTTCTATAAAAAAAACACACACACTTTATTAGTTTCCCTGAAGAATCTAACCTAGGTTCTCGTCAAACATAAATGTTAATTTAGTAGATTAGTTGAAAATCAATCCAAGCAAATGGAAATTCGCTTAGTCGGCAGGTTTGCTGCAGTGGGGTATTATACAATATAATAAGTTTTGAGAAGTAGTGTTACATCAAAATACAGACTTTCTTGTGTACACAGCAAACCGTTAAGGCTAAACAGTTAATATTAACTTATGAAGCTTGGGTTATGTCTCATGATTTATCACGCATATAAGGACCCGGTTTTTAGAAAAAAATAAAAATACCCCCGCCGCAGTAAACCTGCATACTAAGCGAATTTCCATTGATCTGGCTGGATTTCTACTAAAACATTCCCTTAAAATGTTCAGATTTATTTCCTATTTAAATAACAATAATTTTAATGAGTACATAGCTTTGCTTCTACAGGGAAGGTATTGAGGTGTTTTTTTTTTATTTAAGTGTTGATAGCTTAGTATGAAAATAAAACAAAATTGTCGAATTTGATTAAAACATATCCATAAACAAGCAAACTACAACAGTTTATTTATTCTCCATAAGAATAACATGGGAATTTTAAATTTACAATTTTTTTAATTAGGTATCTCCGTAACCATTAGGCATACAACAATGCTTCAACATACAAAATTATTTATTTTTAATCTCTACAAAATTGTTTAGAAATATTGTGAAATGTTGTGTTTTTAGGGTCGAAAACGGGAAAAAAAGAATTTTTACCCCATAAAAGTCTCTATAAAATCCCGTCCCCATAGTCCGATCATGCTGATTCGCGAAATCGTTCGAATAAATAAATGTAGGTTTACACGTTTGTACCAAATTTAATCAAAAACGGATTATTTTTGCTCGAGTTATCCCACTAACGGACATATATATATATATGAATTTGAAAGGAGGGTGTTTTTGGCCTCTGGGAATCCAAAAACAAAGAAACAAAAACAGTGAATCGGTTTTGGGTCTCGGCCTTACCATGAGACCTACCTACCTATAGCTTATTCCCTATATGGGAAATTCGCAAAAAATAAACTAAAATAAATAATAAATAAACTGAACCCTCCCAAACAATTCTTCAGGCATTAATTTTCCTGTTTTCATAATTTTCTGCCTCCTCGTAAAACATATTTGCCATAGAAAGTCGCCCTTCTCAGATACACTGTTGCTCAACTCCAGCGGTGTGTGTGTGATAACATTGGTTCTGCGTGTCGCAAGCCTAGCTGTATTTTGCAGTGCGAGCGGTTTAACAGCATTCGTGATAACAATTATAAACAATGGACCACTGACTAGTAGGTAAATCTTTACTAACCAACTCAACTATGGTGTTACTATTACCGTGAGAAACAATATGCTGCAATTAGTTTGTGATGCCCTCATTATGAGAGGTTACACTTAGGTGTGGTGTGGTCGGCATAATACGGTTATAGTAATATGTTTTCTGTGATAATACGTAAGTACCTATAAGGCCGCCGGTGCAGACGTTAATACACTATCAATGAATGACGCAAAAGATATTGACGATAAGATTTTGTAAGATAATAAAAGATAGCTGACTAGCTGAGCCATTGTCATACAATAATTAATCCAAACTACATTAAAACAAAACTAGTGGCCCCATGCTGCTCCGCAGCGTTAAAATAAGTATCATACCCGAGAAAAAAATCAAATTTAAGATTTTTGAAAGAGCTCCATAACGAGATCTTGAACTTAAATGATTCAAACGACCAATAGCTCAAATTAAAGCCTATAATTTACTGATTATTTTGAGTCTAAAACATATAAAAAAACATAAACAATACTTGAGCTATTGATTTTTAATAATAGAAAACCCTTATAAAAATAGTTTTTAATGTTGGTCGTTCACCTTACGTTTGCTTGAAACTCATCTGATTTGATAACTAATAGCTTAAATGAAAGCCGGTATATCCCTAAAGGTTCTTAGACCAAAATATAAACGATTATATAATTAACTGGTAAAATACATCTTAAATTGAAGTAAGAATTCGAAAATAAATCAAATATATGTTTTTATAGGCTTACCTCCGTCAGAATGTTGATCAAAGCTGACATGTTTCGTTGCATTGCAACATCGTCGGAGCTTTACGTCAAAAACATCAAATAATTTAAACATAAAATACAACATGGGACACGGAACATAAACACGAAATAACACGATAGCGCTATCATGACACGGCACGGAAGCGGTTGTTGAAGCCGTGTCGGTGTCATGATAGCGCTATCGTGTTATTTCGTGTTTATGTTCCGTGTCCCGTGTTGTATTTTATGTTTAAATTATTTGATGTTTTTGAAGTAAAGCTCCGACCACAGACAATGCAAAGTATTATATTGTCTGTGCTCCGACGATGTTGCAATGCAACGAAACATGTCAGCTTTGATCAACATTAGTTGAATTAAGACACAATTTTGGACTACTGACGGAGGGAGGTAAGCCTATAAAGTCATTATTCGTAGTCCAGGGGCTATCAGAATGAATAATATGAAATATATGTTTTTGGTCGAGTAATACAGTAGATAAATATATGCCGATGCTTTATGTGAAATCTGTGCGTGCATTTTGAGTTCCTTTTGGTTGTGCAATTTGAGACCTCAACCATGAAAATCTGTGGGATAGAAGAGCCAAACTAACTCGGAAAAGAACACCCATAATTTTTTTAAACATAAGATTTAGACTACAACCTAGATTTTCATTATACAGTATCAAAATTTAAATATACTCATCATTAAATATGCTACAAGAAAATCATATAGCATTCACCTAAAAACCAAATTTTGTATGAAGGATTTTGTAAAATGAATACATTTTTAGATTGCCCTAGCACTGGACTATATGGCGGCTCCAGTCAACTATATGATAAACCTACTCCACCCTATGATTAAAGCAGCTGTTTCCTCGTGAAGGCTTATTATATTCCATTAATTACTTTGTTTATCCCTACCGGACGGAGGCTATTTGGTCCTTCCGACGGCAAATCGCAGTAAGGCCGCCATATTTAGCACTGCAAGTCAATAACGCATTGTTTTTTCCTTAATACACACTGCATAATGAACTAACCAATTTCCATACTTATTTAAACAACACTATTTTGTCGGATATCGACGCGACAGACGAGACTGCTGCAGTGCTGCATGATGGGTAAGATGGGTAGTGTTGCTGGGGCGATGTCGATGGGTTGGGTTGGGTTTGGTTTGGACTGGTTCCATTCATGGTCAACCGCCTTGACCCACAACCCACAGACAGACATTCGATCCACTTTCCTAAACTCATCTTGATGAAGAAAAATTGCACAAAAAGGTTTGTGTCAGCATGGAAAAGAAATGGAAAATCCTTTGAAAATGTACCCGAGATGCTAGACCTACTACAGTATTTGCAGTTCTCCATCAGCACACTCAATGCAAAGCGTGGTGGAGGTGGTGGTGGTGGTGGTGGTGGTGGTGGTGGTTTAAACCGTATACTTTTCTCCTGATATTGATTTAAATGTACCCTATTTTCCGCAACGTTGTATGAATTTGAACGGATATTGTTTTTGGCCTCTGGGGAGCTAAAAACGAAAAAGTAAATCGGTCCCGGGTCTAGGTCTTACCATGAGACCTGCGGTAATAGCTTATTCCCATATGGAAAATTCGCTAAAAAATGTCAAATTTGATCACAATACATCCATAAACAAACAAACTACGACAGAGTTAACTTTTTCTCAATGAGAGTACAGGAGATTTTTAAATGTAGTACTACAGTTTTTGAAATGTTTCTCCGTAACCTTTAATTTTGTACAACAACGCTTCAATATAGAAAATTATTTGTTTATTAACCTCTACGCAATTTATTACACGGGGGATAGCCCAACTCCGCGTGGTGGTCAGATTTAAACGAGGAAAACTTTCATAGCCCCCGAAGGGTCCAGTCAAACTCCGGTTACACTTTTATTTGTTCATAGCTACTTTTTGAGGTTTGGTTAGGTTAGATTAATGATAGGTTAATTCAAATTAAACATAAGTAGGCCTATTCTCTTTTGTACTGGTTAACTTTATTTAATGTATTTAATTAGTTACAGTGGTTTCGTACAGTTCTAAATTATGCATATTTATAAAAATTTCAAACTTCAAATACAAACTCTCAGCCGTCAGGGCTGTGAGAGCCAAAATTGACCACCGCACGGAGTTGGACATGTGCCGCAAGGGATCTGAAGTGACCACCGCGCGGAGTTGGGATAAGCCCATTAAACGATGGGTGTAATAAAAATTGGGAGTTTTTATTATTCAAGGCCGGTAGCCTAAACATTTTAAACCCCCAATTTTCAACAATTATTTTTAAAACACCATATCACCCAGTTCCAAAGACCTGATCATGCTAGTTCGCGATCTCATTAAAGATTATGTCGCCATACACGTTAACAATTTAAACGAACATTGAGTGTTTTGACCTCTATAAACATAAAAATAAAAAAGTAAATCGGTCCCGGGCCTAGGTATTACCGTGTCCCATACGGTAATACTAACTACTTCCCTAGAGAAATCAGGTAAAAAACAAAAACATCAATAGCTTTATAGTTAGGTTTGCTAAATAATTATGATATTGGCGAAGTAGCTGATCCAACTTGCGACTGCAGAATCTCAGAATGTTGCTCTTGGGTAGATATAATGATAATACTTAAGAGGTATTATCCACCCAATTGCTACTACTCACTGATAAAATTATGCCAAGATGTGTGACCTTGCACCATACGGAGTAGTGAACGATAACAAATAACTCTCTTATCAGTCAAACGTTGTTGTTCTTGACCGCTTGTGTTTATATCTGTCGTCTGACAGCCCGTCTACCTAGTTATTAGGAACAGTATTTAGTTTTGCAATCTTACAGAGTAGAAGTAACTGGGATTACTTTCCAATAAAAACTATACCGGCACGTTATTCCCCATATCACAAGTAAACAGAAAATGTTACGAAAAACCCATTAGAATGATAGGAAAGAGTTGCAATAGTACTGGCATTAATAGTACAGTACATAATATTTATCGTTGTACATTGCAGCCAATTTGTAGGCCTACTGATTTTTAATAGGTATATGCAGATTTGGTCAAGAAGAAAATACTATAGTTGAACTGTCGCAAATCAAAGTACCTAATCATAAGGGGGTTAATCTTGAATGTTATTTATTTTAAGTTTTCACGTAGCACCATAGATGATAAAAGGTACACCACGCAGTAACTTATATTTATAAATACTAAATACCCCCACCGCAGCAAACCTGCAGACTAAGCGAATTTCCATTTGACTGATTGGATTTACACTGAAATGTCTACTTAAAAATATAACATTTATTCTCTATTTAACTAGTACTTAGGTTTGCTGCATCAGGGAGGGTAAAACTGTTTTTTTTTTTGTAAAACGTTAATAGTTAGTAAGAAATAAAAACATTTTCCAAATTTGATCAAAATATGTTCATAAACAAGCAAACTACAACAATTTACTTATTCTCCATAAGAATAACATGGGAATTTTAAATTTACAATTTTTTGGAATTTTCTCTGTAACCATTAGGCGCATAATAACGCTTCAATATACTAAATTATTTGTTTTTTTAAGCTCTACAAAATAGTTTGGAAAGAAATTGCTAAATTTTATGTTTTTTGGGTCAAAAATGGGAAAAACCTATTTTTACCCCATAAAACCCCCCGTAAACCCCCGTTCCCATGGTCCGATCATGCTGGATCGCGAACTCGTTCGAATAAACGTAGGTTTACACGTTTGTACCAAATTTCATCAAAATCGGATCATTTTTGCTCGAGTTATCGTGCTAACGGACACACACACATATATATATATATATATATATATATATGAATTTGAACGGATGGTGTTTTTGGCCTCTAGGGACCTCGAAATGAAAAAAAAAATCGGTCCCGCGTCCAGGTCTTACCATGAGTACTACGGTAATAGCTTATTCCCTATATGGGAAATTCGCTAAAAACTACTAATACTAAATTATAATAAATAGTAATAAATACGATAAAAAAATATCACTAATAGAATCCATTGCAAAATTTACAAATGACACACAGCTAATACCAAGGCGTACTATCTGCTAATACCATAGACTAGTAGGTATGTTTTATCTATGCTAATACTATCGATGAAATTTAAAATCTTCCTAAAACTATGCAATTTTGCCTAAAATTGTACCGGTTTTTACAAAATACTATTTAGATTTTATCGTTAAATTCTACACGGTGTGTTTATTTATTTGCTTACCGTACGCTTTTCTTACAGAAGTACAGTAATAAAAATGTGATAAAGTATTTCTCTAAAACAAAGTGTATTGCTGACCTGCAAACAGCTGTTTATCGCGTGGTAAAAGTCACGTAGGCAGCGTACCCTACACACAACACTGGATAGTCTGGAACTGCAAACAACTCTGATGGCTCTCTGGACACTGAACAGAACAGAACACCTCCGACTAGCAACTAGGCAACTGGACTGTAACACTGTAGTAGACTCAGTACGAGATACGAGTACACCAACACCAGTACTACTGTGGCTGGAACAGAGAGACGCCAAGCGGCAAACCCAGACAACTCTGATGTAACCGACACAAAGCGCTTCGGTGGTGGAGGGGAAACTCGTTCTGCGTATAATAATTTTCTCACCAACTTGCTAGTAATATTTTGTCTTTGTGTTACTGTTTTAGTAAGCTATTTGAAGGTTATAAGTTCTGTGGCGCATTTCACAGCTTGTTTACCTTGTATAACCTTGTAAAATGACTGTTCATCAATGCTGAGAATGACGTAGATAGCGAAAGCCAGTGATGTTATATGATTAACCTAAATTGTATCATACTAGTACAGAGTAAAAATAGCCAAATCTTGTGAGTTTCCCATTGAAAAAATAAATAATGGTGATTACATTCACATCCTACATTATTAAAATATTTAGTATTTATATCACAATAAATAATGTTAAAACCAGTCCTAATGCCTAATGCTGAAATTAGTTTTAATTGTGTGTTTTGCAGATGGTATGTATAACTCTTTAGCGGCTGTTTGAAATCAACGAAATTAACATTGATCTTATGGCGGCAAATCCAAGATGGCAGTTAGCTTCCATGGACTCCTTGGGAAACATAACAACACTACAAAGAACATTTCTAATACCACAATTTACTAGAAATTAAAATTACAATCACTTTGGTGTTTGAACAAATATTTTTCGACGATAAATAACTCTTCAGCAGCTGTTAGCTAGCCTCCAAGGACTCAAGATAGTGGTTTACGAGTTGATACTTTTTTCTCGATTTTCGAATGTGAGTACCTATGTCGGCAGACCATAATTTGCTTAGTAATGTAAATGTCAACTGGTGTAGTAGGTTTCTAGAAATCTGTCCAATAAGCTGCAGGGTGTCAGTATAAACCAAAATAGATTTATACCACACCATAACTATCTCAGTAGTACCAAAGAATCGAAAAACCTTATTGCTGGGTTTGAGAGAGTTCAGAGTTAAGGGAAGTGTTTAACACAGGCTTTTCAAATAGTCGAAATTGCTGTTTTATTGCAAAATTATCGGGTTAAAAGTGCATATCGTATATGCCTATAATAGAATGATAGAAATATGAGGTAACTGTTCTGAATTGTATTCAGTTTTACAACCAAATCCCGTACGTAGGATTGGCCAAAATCACCTAGTCCTAGTAGTATGATATAAAACTATAAAACCGTGATAGGGTTCATCTTGATATGCATATGAAGATATGGCCTAAACGCTTTCCTAGGTTGGTCGACGACACAAATACAGTCACGGGCGTGCAAAACGCCAGAACCTAATTAACTAATATCAAAGATTACATGATTTAGTTGTTGAGGCTTTTTTTACCTACATGATTAGACAACACATTACACATACATGAATAGGTCTACTGATGGGTACAGGAGTGCCTAGAGAATAAATGTATAAACTACATAATGTAGTTTACCTACTCAAAACACAAACGTATTAGTAAACCGCCATGTTACGTTATGCTACGTTTCCCATGACTCTCGAAGATTTCAAAGAAGCCGTAGTCATTACTTGGAGTGGCTAGTCATCAAACGGTGGGATTATGCAGCATTGAGATTAGCGGAAGCAGAAGCACAATTCCTAGAACGCTGATTATTGTATCTTGTTTCAACTCTCAAACAACTGTGAGCTGTAATAGGATGCATACAGGGTGGACACGTCCCGAGACAGGATATTCCAAAAGATAACCAAGATGGAGGCTATTGAAGTCACTTGACTTCTTGAGTCGGAAGAAACTCATAAATGTAAGGATGGTCAATAAGCACATCAAAAGGTCATTTTACATTTAAGCTTTAAGTCACTAAGAACAAGTATAATGTGCTTATCAACCTACGCTTAAAACTTTACTGATAAAGAACCTACTTAAATTATAAAGTGTATGTTTAAAAAATGTACATGTAAATAGTGAGTATACTTCAATGTGTCCTATATATTACATGAATATATCAATAACGAGTTAACCCTTCGTGTGTATGAGAGATATACAGTAGTGTTGTATGGCTCTTAAAATCTGTTGCTTGACTCGTAGTCCTTCTCAATGTGTATGGTTTATAATAAAACGGATCTAGGTAATATTTAGACCAAAAGACAGTTGTAAAAAAATAGTCTGTTAAATATATACTCTTACGCAAGAATAAATACCATTTTATACGTAATTACGCATCGCTCAATTTAGTTATAATTTAATAATAATATATGTGAATTGTAATACAATCCATAAGGCTCATAGAAGAAGCTAGATCTTCTTGAAAGAATCTCATTTATGAACATGTGGAACAGCTTTTATGATATGTAGGTCAATACCTCATCTTGAGAATTTCTGATATCGCAAATGTATATAATCACTGTTTGTCTGTGCCAATTGTAAAGTAACCTTGCTAATATCTAAGTTCTTTATCGAACCTAGGTACTTCAGTGTTAAGTGAAACAATGAAACTAACAATTTATATATAACTAGTGTCCCTGTTGCTCGAATTCGAGCAATTGCTTAGTATTACTGGTGTTAACGAATATATCAACCAAGTCAGCAAATATTTGTAGCAAACTGTTAAATTAACAAACTTATTGACTGTTTACAATTAACATGTGCTATTCTTCTCACTTTTGATTTCTGACAACAGCTGGAGTTTCATAACAATTTTTGTTTCCCAAGTTAATCTTATGGAGAAATACGGAACTTTAAAGGGCCCCAGGGCCTCACTCTATAATTATTTCCCTAAAAAGAAAGCTTCATGCACAACTTCACGTTACGCTCTTTCCAATGACATCAAAAACATGACAATCGGTTTAGTAGTTTCGGAGGAGTAATTGTCACAAAAAATCTGCTTGCGTATTAAATAAGTACTAGTGATCGTCCTGTGGTCGAAACTCGACCAAAAATAATTAATGTACAGACTTCTCTATTTTCTCCCCACACTGTAAATAAAACATGTGATTGGAATTTCTTCCATTTGTTTTGATTTTCTGTTTACATTTTGTTGTTATTTCGTCACCATCATGGCAACCCATATGGCCCATGTTAATTTTTTGAAGTTTTCAAATTAATTTTTTGTGCTTATTTGTTAACCTATTTTAACTTTTAAAGGCATTCTGCACATCTACAGGAAAATATCTTTCCAACAGTATGCGTGGATTTTCCCTGCGATGCACACGAGTTGAGAAAAAAGGTTTTAAAGAAACATGCTTGCCTATTAATATATAGATAGATAGATACAAGCTGCTATACCCGTGCTTTGCAACGGGACGAAAATGTGACCTAGAGAGCTATTAAAGTGGTGATGATGTGTGTTTTAAAATACAGCAACTCTTTGAAAATATAAACTGATTTAAAGGCGTAAACAGCGAAAACCTACTTACTTTCAAACCCCTACTTTTGATGTTAATAGATCCCTAAAAATATGGCAACATACCTTGTAGCAATACCATCAATTGCTTCATATTGATGCTTCATGAATAACATGGTTCCTTAATTCTTAAATTTTAGTCAAGCCTCTTGACATGTAGCTTACTCTTAAATTATAAAATGAAACTTTGAGCAATACTTTACAAAACGTATACAACCTCACTTTAAAACCAAACATAACCCTCCTCAATCTACATAGCTCACAACACAAACATATTTTTCGAGTAAATAAACAAACGCCAGTTCATTGTACTGACCAGCTGTTTCATTAACTAAATCTATCATATCTATACAGGGTGGTAAAAAAGTCCCTGGACAGTTGAATATTTTAAAAAATAATGCAGATAGAGCTATAATACTTGGTACAAAGTTACAGGGCATAAAACCCTATTTTAACACATATTCAGTGATCCAATAACCCTTCAGGGGGACGGCCCACAAGGAGTCAGAAGAAAATCTTAAACGGAAGCATAGGTCAATATGCACATCAAATTAAAGGTATTTTTTTGTAGAATACAATGCCGCAAACCACACTTCAAAAGGTTGATCCTGCGCAAAATGGCAGATGTTCAAAGATTTCTTGAATCCGCCATTTTGAATCTTTGAACGACTGCCATTTTTTACTCAGGCATTCTTTTGAGCTTGAATTTACGGCATCGTAATCTACTAGTGAAGACCTTTAATTTGATGTGCATATCGACCTATGCTTACGTTAACAATTTTCTTCCGATTCTTAGGGCTGTGCCCCTGAGGAGTAAGCGTATAATAGCAATGTAAATTAAATGAATCTTTGAACAACTGTCATTTTGCGCAGGATCAACCTTTTGAAGTGCGGTTTGCGGCATTGTATTCTACAAAAAAATACCTTTAATTTGATGTGCATATTGACCTATGCTTCTGTTAAAGATTTTCTTCTGACTCCTTGAATACCGTCCCCCTGAAGGGTTATTGGATCACTGAATATGTGTTAAAATAGAGTTTTATGCCCTGTAACTTTGTACCAAGTATTATAGCTCTATCTGCATTATTTTTTAAAATATTCAACTGTCCAGGGACTTTTTTACCACCCTGTATATTAATTAGACAAGCATGTTTCTTTAAAACCTTTTTTCTCAGCTTGTGGGCATCGCAGGAAAAATGTTCGCATACTGTTAGAAAGATATTTTTCTGTAGGTGTGCAGAATCCCTTTAAAATTAAAATAGGCTCAGAAATAAGCACAAGATATGAATTTGAAATTTGAAAAAAATTAACATGAGCTTTACGGGTTTCCATGCTGGTGACGAAATAACAACGAAATATAAACAGAAAATCAAAACAAATTGAAGAAACACCAATCACATGTTTTATTTACAGTGTGGGGTGAAAATAGAGAAGTCTGTACATTACAAATGTTTGGTCGAGTTTCGACCACTGGATGACCTCTAGTACTTATTTAATACGCAAGCAGGATTTTTGTGACAATTACTCCTCCGAAACTACTGAACTGATTGACATGTTTTTTGTGTCATTGGAAAGAGCGTAACGTGAAGTTGTGCAGGAAACTTTCTTTTTAGGTAAATAAT